TAAATAGTATCCAAGCCAATCATCTATCGATAAACAGAAAATATCTATTCTACTTCTTTTAGATTTTTCAATAGCCTTTGATTCTCTCAATAATAATATCCTCATTTCCAAACTCCAAATGGCGTTATAAAATGGTTCCTCTCCTTTTTAATCTCATCGTTTCCATACTGTTGTTATTCCTAACAATTTTCTTTTCTCGTCTCTTTAATTATCATGAGTAGTTCTTCACCCCTAACCACCCCTTTTCTCCATTTATATTAGCGACCTTCCTGACTCGTTTCATAATTCCCGTTATCACTTATATGCAGGTAATTTCAAAATTTACCAATCATTACAACATTCTGAGATTCCTGAAGCTATTCTAAAGCTGCAAGAGGATATGTAAGGACTTCCTAATGGATTGCTCTGAACTACACGCAATGCCCATGTTAATCTCTTTGATTTCATATAAACAGTAACGCACAATGCTCCATTAGTACTCTGATCTCCACATCGCTTCGGTTATCGTCAGAAGGATTTTTGCAGCCGTTTATCAGAACTGACTATATCATAGCATTGTATAGTCTTAATTTCTTGACTTTTCGGGATTTCAATGCGTTTGAAGGAAAGCTCTGTCTGCGCTTGTTATCTTATATCTACTATATGTTACTATATATCTACCTACCAATAACAGCAAGCGACATTTTTTTTACAAAAATATGATTTGCTTAGTGGTTACATATTGACGAACTCATAACAGTGTATACAGACTTTATGCTTAATTTAAAGATAATTTTTACATAATAAGTGGTGTGATATGAAATGACATCTTGTGTAAAATTACTGAAGCTATGTATGGAGTAAAATGGAGAAAGAATAAATTTGTAGATCCACTGGAGAAAAAAAACAGGAGCTTAATTCTAAGAAAAGGTTGTGTGGTCTCTCCGGGATAGGGTTCCTCAGGGATTAGCTTAAAGTCTACCTTACAAAGATATGGCAGTTGTAAACTGTGGAATATAAGAAGGGACTTGAGAGGTATGAATAGAGGGTATAAATACAGCAAAAGCGTTATGCTTTAAGGGAGTTATTGTTGATAAATATAATCCACACCTCAATGAAAATTTAATTTCAATTTATTAGTTAAAAAAATTAACAAAAATTAAATATTGGATGCTCTAATAGTATTATTATGTATAAAAGAAATGAGCGGAATCGATAAATGTTTAAATGGACCAAGAAAGTAAGTATGGAAAAGTATTGTAGTCTGTGGTAAGAGCCCTCTTTTTATCAAATTATTAACATTCGCGTAAAACTTCGTGAATGGGTTCATCTTATTATCACCTACAAATTTTATTTTTATTATTAAATTATTTAATAAAAATATTTTGTTGTAGTTTCTTTGTCTGCACAACTAGTTAAAAAAAGTTATAATTGTTATCTTTTCTCTCCCCTAAACAATGGATAAATATAAATAAACATGTTTTAATTATTAAGTAAATTGATACTGGCAGGGATTTCATCCACTATTTCCTCGCTTTTTAGGCTATACGGAGCTTCCCTGGACCAGAAAAGAGGGCGAGGGATTAATGCTACAGTTAAAAGGCCCACCAGCACCAGGACGGGTACTCGTAATTATTTAATCATGCAAATTACAGTTATCAGGTTGCGTTAGCCCGCTTAGTTATCTACTTATCGCTAAGTTATCTTAAATTAGTGATTCATTAAAGCAAAAATAAATAAACAAATATATAAAATAATAATAAGTAGTAATGAAGAATGTATTATTATAAAAGTAAAAAAAAACTCGTGCCTCACAAAGAAAAAGATATATATAAATAGATAATGTTACAAAATCATTAGATGTCTAAAAAAAAAAGAATTCATTTAAAATTTATTTACACCTATATAAAGTATATTTAATAATCAAAACGAATAATTTTCAACTATATAGAGTCATTGTTTTATTTTTTGCATTAAAAAGTTGCTTCTTATAACCAATTATAAAAAAATAATAAATAATGATATATTTATGAGTTAAGGTAGAAGAACGTCTATATTGACAGGTAGGGGATATAATATAATATAATATAGTGGAGAACATGAGAAGGTGACACATTATCAACAAGGCGCATTGATATAGGTCCCACACAAAACTGCCACCAGGTAACCTTGGGTTTATAAATGCAAGTTCATACTTATACAGGATATTTCAACTCTTAATGTGCAAACTCTGAGGAATGATTCTAAAGAAATTTTCCAACCAAAAATGTTCATTTGATGCATGGATCGATTCTGAGCGGAAATGGAGTTAAGACCAATTCCGTGTTTTTCTTGAGGTGGTCGCGTTTTTAATTGAATAAGAAGGAATTGCTCAAAAAGTCTTTATTAACGCCCGAATCTACGGATTTTATTTTCCTTTCTTTTTTATTTCATTTATTTGTTCTCACCGTTTTACGCCTTTTTAAATGTTAATGAAGAAATTGTTTATTTTTATTATTATTATTTTTTTTTTTTTGTAAAAGCTAAGATATATTTGTCCCAGAAATATACACAATATTTATATTAGGCATTATGCTATGTATTATTGTGTTTGTGTATATGCTCCAGCCTGGCAGTAATACTCAGTCTTGGGTATTAAGACATCAAAATAATGCGATAAGATTGCCGGGAAGTCAGTCAGAAGTGAGCTTTCATCGAAGCGGGGTCTATGTATTTGGTTGTCAGTACCCTCCACCCCGCCAGCCGCTTCTGTATTATATTACTTATCACCTCAACTGGCAACAGCCTAGCGCCATTTTCAAACAGCTGTGCATCGGCATCAGCAGTCATCGATCGAAATCGATAGGTCTATCGACACGATACTTCCATACCATCGAGTGTTTGACATCGTTCGAGGTAACCTCTTTGGAAGTAGAACCTCCAACTTTTTTTTTATATTCCGCCGTTTCCGAAAGATATTTAAACATTAATTTGGTTTAGTTCTCTTCGCAGTCATTTTTTCTCTTGGTTTTAATCATTATTATAGTATACATGTATTATTATGTAGTAAACATGTATGTATTATTTAATACAGTCTATTCAAGCAATCTCTTCGAACAGCCATGATGAAGGCCTTAACTTCAGGTCGAAACGTCGGCAAATGTTAAAATAAATGTTATTACTTATTTTTATCATTTTATTTCTGGCTGATCACCCCAAACATCATTCTCTTTATTACTCACGACAGTTAACCATCAACCCACAATCATTATTATAGAAGTATATTTTATTTATATTTTGTTTTTATTTTTATTAGCGTATCAGACCTCCAGAAAGTTCTATTTATCATTGACAATAATATTCTTATGCAATAAAATACTTATACAATAACCTTATTATTCAACGAAAAACGTGACTAGCTTAACAAAAACAAACAATTGGATTCAACTCCTTTTACGTTCAGAATCGGCATATGCATCAAATAAACTTTTTTGTAGGAAATTTTGTCTAAAATCAACCACCTGAATTTGGCATTTAAGAACTGAGACGCCTATTTCATCACGACGAAAATATTTCTATTTGTATTATTATTCAGGGATAATAATATAGAAACATGGATTTTATGATTCATTCACCTTTCATGTCGACACCTCAATTTCACGTGATTTTCTTATACATTTTTCTGCCATAAAATTGGAAAAAATTATATCTAATAAGAACAAGTATAGATATATTTTATAGATAATGTTGTTATAGAGATTTTTACAAAACTAGTCAAATGTTGAAAACGTTTTGTTTTCATTTGGCGGTCCTACAAACTAATAAATAATAAATATTTTCTTCAGTTTATGACGTTATTCATTTTTAGCTGAAAAAAAAATCGAGAAATGTACTTATGTTATGGAGGCGATCCTCCTTTCTTAATATTTCACAATAATTAGTTATTTTTACACATAGTTTGAACTACCGCCGTTTTTTTTTTTCTGACCATCCTCCCTTTAATCAAAATGGAAAGACTGCGTTTGTGACTGTCTGTGCCATTCCGTTAGAAAAAATGGCTTCCTCCACCCACTAAATATCTTCAGTTACAATATAATGTTATTATTAAACAAATCTTTAATATATGAACTTTTTTTTCTGTTGGCATTGAATACGATCTTTTGCCGCCTTAATCAACCTTCTATATCTCTACCTATTTCTTCTGCAAGCAACTCTATTGCATCATTGTAGATTCGCTCTATCCGCCTGAATTTTGGCCTTCCTCGTGATCTTTTGCTTTATATTGAGGATTGTTGTGTAGAGGCTTCCTAATGGATTGCTCCGAGCTACATGCCACGCCCATCTTAACCTCCTTGCTTTTATATCTTGTGATATTAATTGATCAATTTCTATAAGTAATTCTTTGTTCGTCTATCTCCTCTACCTGTTAATATTATAAATAATCCAAGATCGCTCCGTTTATTTGGCGAATGATTTTTCTCTGAAATCCTTCAAAATTACTTTCTTCTACGCATATCCTGTTATTGGGATGGGATTTTCGGCTTATTATCACATATTTTGTTTTGTCTTAATTTATTTACTTGGCCGACTTGTTCTGCTTCTCTTATCAAAGCATTAGATATAAAATAGAAATAACGGAATTTTAATAATTATTTCAAGAATGATTTTTAACATTTCTTCTCTACAGTCTTAACGTTTTAATAACACTTTGTTCTTAAATCGATTGTAGTTTCGACTTCTTTAATGGTATTCTTAATTTCAGTGAAAGTATTCAATCATAAGTATTAGTTAAACTGTTAATTGTTTTTCTATTTGGATTATATTATTTTCAATTGTTTCGTGAAAAACAAAAAAATGTGAAAGTGTATTAAAATTCTTGAAATAAGACAAGAATAAATAACAATGTTACTGACAAACACAAGCATAGAAACATTATTAAATATATGTACAGTAAATGAACAAATATAAAATAATTTCTATTTACACGGCCTTCCGAACGAAATAAAATATCTCACCAAAGTTTCCTCGATCATATGACTTTTTATTAAAATTAAAATTTTGTATAGTTAACCTTACTCATGGGAGCAATTTTGTCCCATCAATTCTATTTAGTTAACAAATTTGAAGTTGTCAAATTCCCAGCAGTGTTCAAGATATATTTATGTATGGTGTCCTCGGCGTGCTTCTCTTAATTATGGGCGTGTATTCGGCTCTCAATGACGGGTGAGTAAGCATTAAGCATTTGTAAATAAGAGCTCATTTTTATTTAACTACTTACATACTTACTTCTAAGCATCGTATAACTCCCCTAACAGTTTATTTTACATAAAATGTAATTTAAAAGAAATGAAAATATTTTTATTTTACATATTAGGAGGATATTTCTTCATATTATTGTCTTTATTCAGTCAAAAATAAAATTTCATATTAAAAAATAAAAAAAGGAAATCTAGAATAGACAATATGTGTTAGTATAGATTAAGGGAGGGATATCGAATATTGATATTCTCATCGAAATTTATATCGGCAAATGACTATCGATTCTACCAAAATAACGGACGGAAAAAAATGTTATTTTCATATTAATGGAAATATCGATTCTTTTCCCCCCCCCTTAGTAAAATTAATTTTCTAGTTCCTGTCCATCTTCGTTATCCTCAACATTTTTCCGGAAATTTCCATTCAACCAATTATGGCATCCATTCACCCATAAATCGGATTAAGCGAAATGCTAATTTATTTGCATCCTATATACATTTATTTGACAATTCGTGGCCTTGGTTTGAGAAGGTTCTAACTAAAAAAGTTTGACAAATTGAGTTTAGTGAGGGAGAAGCGACCCACGCGCGCTGTTCAACTCTACATAAGGATGGCCATCGATTTATCGATATTTTCCTTTACTGCGCACTACGTTATTTATAAGGATGGCCATAAGGATGGCCATCGATTTATCGATATTTTCCTTTACTGCGCACTACATTATTTATGAAACAGACATATTTTTTTTCGATTTTTTTTAATAAGATATTTTTTTCCGAATATAGATTTCAAGAGCTCTGGATTTTGATGAATTAGGTCTCCAACGAAAGGAGACTTCATGGTAAGTTCAAACTAAGGTACTAGTTCCGAAGCACTACTCTTTCAGCCATCTTAGTTGATCCCAGGTTATCCACAATGTTCCAGATAAGGTTTACAACTGATAGCACCAGAAAACGCCAAATATTGAAAGTAAATATTGAAATTATATCGTTTAGGTTACATATTACCCGCTGTTTTTCAAAGTAAGCATTATTTCCCCACCATTTTCACCTCATAGAAAATAAATGTCGATTGAACACCCCTTCGATTTTCCATGTTATAAACATTTTAAGATATTACAACTTCATTTTTTTTTTCATTAAAGTGACCATATCTAATATTATTTATGCTTATAGTTTTATATATTACACCAATCCTAACAATCCAAAATCCTTTCTTAAAATCCTCAACGCTACTTACTTTGTCACAAATAAAATCATCCATAAAGACCTTAATGTTGCATATGTTTCCGATTTGGCCCAATCCAGATACCTATCCTTCCATAACACATTCACTTCTTGTTATTTCTATGTAATACAGTTGTAAATTTCATTAAAATAAAAAAAATAAATAAAAAAAAAATATATATATATATATATATATATATATATATATATATATATATATATATATATATATATATATATATATATATATGTTACACCGTTTCATTTTATAGATCATACCGTTTTATAAATTTCTTTAAATTTTTGAATCATAGTCTTGTTGGATACAGCTTTTACTTTCCATTTGAATATCTAAATGGATTTCAATTGAATTCCTAGCTTCCTAAGTATTGTTATTCCTAGTTATTGTGGATACTCATTCGAAAAAGTACAGGGGTGTATAATTATCACTGGTGGGAAACAAAAATTGAAATTGTTTTAACTTTCTTCTTATAAATAATACAATTACAGATAAAGTGTCACAATTAAAACAAAACTTAAGTTAATCAACTTATTTAATTTAGGATAACTAAATAATTGAAATTTACAACTGTATTACATGGAAAATACAATAAGTAAATGTGACATTGGTAATATGACATGTACAACATGAAGAGAAACTACTCCTCCAACATGAAGAGAAAGGTAGAACTCCAATGGCAATATATAAAAAAATAATCATAAATAATATTATAAATATATAATAGAAAAAAAAAATTGAGCTAATATGTGTCTATAAATAACATAGAAAATACAAAGTATTGCTTAATAGATATAATGAAGAGAGAAAAATCGACAAAAGGTTAAAATATATATTTTAAAGGTTGTATTTGGTAATTATCTGTAATGAATGTAAAGTGGAAGGGTCAAGGGCTGACAAGACTACCCCTCGGCAAAAGTGGCGCTGCGTGGTGCTATCTGTTATAAACTGTATCTGAAACATTGTGAATAACCTGGTATCAACCAAGATGGCTGAAAGAGTAGTGCTTCGGAAATATTACCCAAACGAATACCAAATTCAAAGCATAAAGTTTTACTACAACTATAGTAAAAACCATTTTAAAAAAATGGAGATTTTAAGACTAAATTGTTATTAAAAAAAAAATAATATTTTTGGTCAAGACTTCCACTTTATTTGTAATAATATAAAAAAAATTGTATATAGTCACTTAAGATCCACAATTCTACTTAATTTTTACCTTACGCTTAACGTTTCATCAATCGTTAGAGCATTTTCAAAGAAAGAAACCTAACATTAAAATTAAAATATAACCATTTAGGATAATTTTCCTTTGTCACTCACTTATTGTCTAATACTGAAACATCCATTCACAAGGTTATGAATGATGGTAAAAAAAAAATGAGTAAATTAGATTATGAATGATGGAATGTATTAATGTATTTACACCTTGCGAGTGAATATTTTATTTGTATATTATAGTAAAGTTTCTTTTCTTGAAAATAGCCGAAGGGCTGAAACGTTGACTGTAATGAATAATATAAACATCAAGGTGTTTTATCGAGTGTTGAGTACATCAATGAAGTCCACCTAACCTAACAAAACAATATACAATACAAAAATAAAAACGGTATATATTACTTACACACTAGAAATATTTAGGTACAAATACAGTTCTTCCTTTAAGCAGGGATTTCCAGGTCGAACTGGAGCTGCTCGTAAAATTGCAAAACACCTGTTTACGTGGTGATCCCGATCAACACTTGACGCTCTCTGATAACGAGTGATAACAATAATTTTGAAATAGGTTAATTAAAGAAATAACAAAATATCAACTCATTCACTTTTTCGTAACAATAAAAATATAAAAAAAATAAGCTATTTTTGTGGTAAGATCTCATATCACAACGTGACCCGGATAGGAAGTTTTATGACTTTTTATTAAATTATTAGTGCAGACTGGATATTGATTCAGTATGAATCTACAGAATACAGCTTATAAAAAATATAAAATACGCATTAAAAATTAAGAAAAAAATTAATATGTGAACTTTAAAAAATAACCTAAAATATGCAACAACAGGAATGGAATAGAACTGCTAAAATATTAAAAAATACTAACGTGTCTACTAAAATTAAATAGGAAAAATAATAATGATTTTTTCAACTTGAAGTCTTTGTATTAAATTTTTTTATAAACCATTTAAAAAAAAATAATGTGCCAAACATGAAACAGGTAATATAGATATAAATTTATTAATAGACAAAAACATAGGAATAGGTAATTGTTTTTAAATTATCACTATCGAAAATTAAACTCTAATCAATATGAAAATTAAAACGCAAATAAGCCCACATGAAAAAGTATGTATATAAATATATTCAAAAAAGCTTAATGTTAAAAAAATATTATGAAATAATTTATAATAACTAAATTGTTAAATATAGCAATTGCTATAATAGGTATAAACAATAGTTATAAAAGCAATTGCACCAGAAGCCATAAACATATGTACTGTTTTTAGAATAGAAAATAATTTTATTCTGGGACGAAGTCCCTTCAGAATAACCAAAAATTACAAAATTAAAAGGTTATATCTGTCCAAATAAATACAAACATAAAAAGTAAAGGTAAAGATAAATCAGTAAAGAAAGTATTAGTTATACATACTATATACAAAATTAAAAAAAAAAAATCTATATACAAAACTCTTGAAACCTTGCCAAGACACTTAAAACTGCGTACAATTGTAAAATATAAATATACACTTTTAGAAAAAATAAAGAATACATTACAATCTTCTTAGCAGTAAACTCTGTGTTTCTGTTGGAAAAAAAGAAAAAAAGAAAGTCGAATCTGTTAATAAGTATTGCAGTTATGAGCTGATGATGTAAATACATTATTATGAATAATATGTAATTTTACATAAAATGTTAGCGGGTTTCTGACTGTTTTTGGGACAGGAATTGGAATAGGAGGGTTTCGAATGTAGATAGTGATGGATAATGTCGAATTTTGATAAGAAGGCCATTAAAAAATTAACAGAGCGAGCTATGAAGGAGTTTTGGAACGAGGCAGATCTGTGAGAAGGAATGTAAAGGTTGGAAGGTCGAGATGTTGTGGAAAGGGATTGGACTGAGGATTTGAATTGGAGAAGGTTATAGGTGTAAGAAGAACGATGGTTGTTGATGATATGATAGAGGAACGTACCTGGGAAATATTGTCTTCGAATGGAGGGGAAGTGCCACTCTAACTCAGTGTAGTGGTGAGAGACATGGTAGTATCTCGGGGCACCAATTACAAATTTCACGCAACTGTTCATTAATCTTTTTAAGACAATTTCTCCAACTCGCTTTGCATCATTTGTCACTAAGGTCTGGATTTATATGGAACAAAACCTTAAAATACAACATTTTTATGGCTTCAATAAAAAATAAGATGATATGACATCAAAAGGGGTGGGGTGGTCGAGCGGGCTGCAAAACACGCCTTATTCAGTAACCTAATAATCGAAGAAAAGTTGGTAAAATAAGTTCGCGTCCCGATGCTGGGGGAACTTTTAATTCTGGAATCAATTCCTCCTCTGTCCGAGAAAAGCTATAAATGAATGATTTCACTATTTATGTTTCCGCATATTTATAATTATTGTATTATTTTAACTTCTAACTGTGACTCTCCGAATGGGAACCCTCAAGTGATCTTATTTGTTTCTTGATTAAATAATTCGATACGTTTTATTATAGCTCATCGCCTGTCATGATTAAAAAATAATTTTAAAATAATTCATTTAGTTAGAATTTTTTTTTTTTTCCTTACTATCTACCCAGTCATTTCTTTCATGGGGCGGGTTTGTTCTACAAGTGAAACTAAACCAATTTTAACCAGATTGGGAAGGTCCGCCAAGAAATAAATTTCATTTTGGGTTGTGGTTTGATTTAAACCGGCGCAAAGTTACGGTGGTCCTATTGGACATTGAGGGAAAAACAAAAATTAAAATTTGAATTCTTTACTTCATCAATAAAATTTTCTTTGTTAAACGATCGAAAAAGGTATTAAGTCAATGTAGTCATTATTATTCTTTAAATTTCTATTTCTTTAAATTTTAGTTTAATAGTAATTTTAGTTCGCGGTAATGACTCCTTTCTATCAAATTATTAAATCCAGCTGAAACTTCGTAAATAGCTTCATCTCATCGTAAACTACAAAAATTTTATTGACGAAAATTCTTAGAATTGTGGCTTTTTCAATCTGGAGGTCGGCAAACTTTGTCTATTTAATTGGGCACTAAAAACTCGTAAATAGCCATTTGCTTTCTACTTTCGAAAAAAGATGGCCTTCCAAAATATTGAGCTGTTTGGCCAATATACCCTTGTTATTTTGACAATTTGGGGGTATAGATCACGCCAAGCGGCTCAATATTTTTGAAGGCCATATTTTTTCTCGACATTTTACTCAAGTTATCTTACGATTAAAGTGGAAAGTGAATGGGCATTTATTAGTTTTTGGTACCTAATTAAACAGACAAAGTATGGGGACATCCAGATTTGAAACGCCCCGATTCCGAAAATTTTCGTAAATAAAATATTTGTAATTTACGATGAGATGGAGCTATTTACGACTATTTAAAATCCCCTCCAGCACCGGGATGCGAACTCGTGCTTTTTTTTATCTTTCAAAACTTAATATATCTGATTGCCAGGCAACTCGCGGTGCTGTGCACACGCTTTAGTCCATTCGGCCACCTACAAGACAATACTGAAACCTATTTGTACTCATTGGCGGATCTACGGGAGGGGGGCTTTCGGAGAAGGGGGGGCTTTCGGCTGAAGCCTCCTCCTCTACTCCCTTCCCCCAAATAGTAAAATAAAACCATATTTTACAGAAGAAAATATTAAAAACTATCTATTAAAGTATTCTTGTTTGTGTAATTACATTTAATAGGACTTCAAGAACCACTTAAATATCATTTCATATGGTTTCGTAGTTAATTTCTTTCTTTTCTTTTTAAAAATTAACTATCGTTAATTAAAATTTCGGGCTGAAGCTTCCCCCTCCCATCCCAAAATTACATGCTAGTGTTTATACTTACGGACTAGAACTGTGGAGTTCTAACATTTTCTAGCATAAAATTTTCTAGCATCAAACGCATCCAATCCTTCCAATCCAAAATCTTTCGAACAATAGTCGATGCTCGTTTTTGAGTAACCAACAAAACCCTACATCATAATCTCAACATCCAATAGCTTATCCCAGAAAATTTTTCGAAATTTCACCAAAATCTTGCTGACCACCCACATCCCGTGTCTCTATCTAGCACTACATATCCCGATAATCCTCCAAGAGGGTTAAAATGGCAGTGGCCCTGCGACCTTTTGTAGTTTGTATATATTGGAGTTTTGGCAATGATCTGATTCTCCACTCAAGACATGAATGTATGTATGTGTTTAAAACTCTATCGATCAATCTCCGTTGGCTTTAGTACCAGTGATGCGATCGAGAGAGTAATACAGAGATCTACTGAAGTCCAGCTTTTCCTTTTATAGTTGGAGGAACAAGCCTGTCTCGGAGGTCTCCTTGCTTGATTGCAAATAGTGTGTATATATATGTTTTTTACTTTCCTTGTTTTTATGTTATTTTATTTCATTTATTGTATATCCTTTATTAGTAGCTGACCCGTGCGAATACTAAGCACAAACTTTATATTTGTATGTTCCATTCAGTAATGTTTCTATGCCATTATAATATTATACTATCAGTAATTAGTAATTAGTATTATAAACAGTAATTATAATATTATACTTTTTCTTAAGTTTACAAAAGCTTCTAAACATTGCCTCTAAATATCTGATGAAGGCTAAACATTTTGAATTTAGTTGTCTGGAAGGTACGTTTTGATCTAGCACTATATTTTATTAACAGAAAATAAAAAATAAAGAAAGAAAGTAAATATTTAAAATGATAAACATCTAATAGCTTATATATAGATAATATTTTACTTAAAATGAAGTATATAACATTCCATATTTATGGCAATATAACAATTAATAATTAATTTTACAAAAGCCTATGTTTTGAAATTAGCTAGAATAATTACTTATTAATACAATGTATAGTGTCTCAGGAAGAGAAGGGTCATTGCCCAAATTTTAAATTCTGAATGAAAAGCAGAAGAGAAAATAGGGTAGATTAAAAAATACTTTCATATCATTTTCTGTTAAATAAGAAAATCTACTAATAAATTTATAATATCGAGGAAAAAGCTTTTACTCTTATCTATTTATTCCATGTTTCAATTAATTTAAATGATCCATGCATGGAGTATATATATAAATAAAGCTTTTTACTCCATATTATGAATTTTATTATTTATATAAATCCTTGAAAAATTTTAAAGATTGAAAATAAATTAAATTCTACTACAATATACTTGATGAAACAATCATAACTACAATAGACTTAAAGTTTTTGAGTAATCCAAACCTGAAATTAAGGAAAAAATCTTTAATGTAGAATTAATACTAAATGTTTAAAACGCTATATCTTTGCACCACGTAGTCCGATTTCGATAATTTTTTTAACATTTTGTAGAAAATTTAGTAAGGTTTCAAATACTCATATATAATGAGCAACAATGACTCAAAAATTGCGTCCTTTCCGAGTTATTCCACAATTATGACTCCATTTGTAACGCCTCGATTCGTTGAGACGGCACCATCATACGGTTTGAAACCTCCCACTTTTACATTCGCTTTTATTTAAGTCCAGGTATAAAATTAGGAATCCAAATTACGATTCGCGCACTCCACGTGATATTCCCTGTCTATTGTTACCTCATTTGTCAAAATCCATCACACCTCAGAGCCGGAAAAGGGATTTATATTTGAAAAATAATATGTAATATTATTATTTAGTTGTTATTCTGCTTTTGTTTATTTTATATTTTTTTGTACATTTAGTGTGAATGTAATCTTGCATAATATCCAAGGGACAGAATATTGTAATATTCCATAAATATATTTTTTTTTAAGTATGTTGTTAACCAAACAACGAAAATACTCCACGTTCGTCTTCCATTCAAAATTAAACCAAATCTAATGATTTCAGGTTGCCATGGAGCAGAAGGGTCGGTCGTTACAAGATCGAACTGCTACCAATAGCGGAGGAGGAATATGAAGCAGGCAGAGTTCGTAATGCGTATCCTTTGGCTATTGGCGATTCAGGCCCACGGAATCAATCCTTTAAAGGGCATCTGAGAGGTCAAGCATTGGTATCACTCGATAAAGGAAAGAAGTTTAAATTAATTGGGCCATCTAAAGCTCAGAATCAAAACTACGACAGGATAGAGATGACAATCGATAGTTCAGGAAAGCCGGTGGACCCCGGGGCACACCGTCGCTACGTCAGGACTTACGGATCGTGGGCAGCGATAAGCGCTCCAGTAAAATCGTTCATCAACGAGACTTTTGTTAAGCGGTATAGAAGAAAGAGGAAAAAGAAAAGGAGGAAAAATGGCTTACGTAGAATTTCAAATTCAAAAATTACAGACCCAAATTTGAAAAATGCATATGTCAGGTCTATTTTTGGATTAATGAATGGACTCAATTGCACCTGTCCACCATCGCCTGAGGATACAACTAGAATAAGGTTTATTCTAACACCATGTGAATGTGAGGCAGATTACGAATTCACAGAACCGACTGAAAGCAACGAACTTAGCGACGAAGAAACCGTCGAGGAAGGTTCCAGTATAGATATCTCCAGTTCCGAAATATGTACGGTAGATACCTCTGGTCCCGAAGAAAATATCGGCGAAGAATCACCTGAACCTCTTTGTACCGAACCTGAAAGTATAGAATGCGAAACTAACAGTGAGCAAGTACAGACTGACCAGTGTTGTCAACTAGATCCGATGCCGAAGCACACAATTGACGAATCTCGTAAATGTATGTGTCAAATGACAGACCCTACTGAAGAACCCATAGAAGATTACGCCACCTACAAAACATTTCCTTTTTCTGGATGTAAACGTAAGAAAAAAATACGGAGACCAGGCCTGAAACATTCCGCAATAACAGTTCGTAAGTGTTGTGAACCCAATCTTCGGCGAATTTTGACCCTTCCACGGAGTACAAAAAAAAGTAAATGTACAGATTCACAAAATGTGTCAAAGAAAAAGAATGAGAAAAGTTCTAAAATCAAATTCAGTAGGAAGTATTCCAAACCTAAAAGAAAAAACCGTGTTGCTCATTTGAAAAAAAAAGAAGTTCCAACAACATATAACATTATAAAAACTGACCAAACAGAATCTTTGCGGGAATGTGAGATTGATAGTGTACTTTCTAGAATAAAAGGAAGGATTAACACAGAAGAAAGCACTATTAATAATGTAGACAGTGTTTCAATAGAAAGTGCCGAGGAAGTTGGCGAAGAATCAGAAAATCTTGGCTGCTGCTGCGGTAGTAATTTGAACAGTGCCCGCACAGAAAAGTCCAGTTCAATATCTACTAATGCGGGGCTTCTTGATGCCATGTTTAAGAAATTTCTAGGTGAAACAGAAGATGGTAGTTCAGCAAATTGGATGTCAAAAGACCCTCCCAACAAAGATGAAAGTGTAACTCTAATCATAAACGTAGAAGATGAGGTGATAGCGCCGCCAGCGGTTAACCTGAGCATGTGCCCGACGAACCCTTTGTCCCTCGCTGTCGAAGAAATGCTGGCTGAAGTCAAGTGGAAGATGACGGAGGCTATGGCGACGGCCACCACAGACATGAAGATGCTAACTGAAGTCAAATGGAAGATGACCGGGGCCTTCCCTACGACCACCTCAGAGACACAGACCGAAACCGGAATCATCACCGCCGAGAAGTTGAAGCACGTTAAGCATCGATCGCGCACAACCAACGATCCGAGTTCTAAGCGCGGTCTAATTTGCACTAATTGTTTCAAGTACAACTACCCTTCGCCATCGAACGACGATGACCTTATTTCTGCTAAGCCTGTTGCAGAAACGGTTACACACCACGAGGCATCACACTGTATGGAACTGCATGCACCGGAGCCGAATTCAGATCCTCAAGATATTCTAGTACCATATCCCGCTAATGAAATTCCGGTAACTGACGCTGATTACGATCAAATCATTGATCACATTCGATGCAATTTTTCAAACGATGAGAAAAAAACAACGCTAGATATATTAAAGCAAATATGCGAAGATAGATACAAATCTGTTACTCCATCATGTATTTGCGGTTCCCTTCAGAAAGAAACTGCGAAAGATAATTTGGATTATGACACTCAACTCGATACCATCATAACACAAAAAACTCATCATACGGAGTCCCAAACCACTAAGCAGCAAGAGGATGATTATAAAGAAAGTGATACTGTACTGGATGAATCAACAAGGCGACTTGATACCAGCCAACACACTCAGCGTAACTCTTGTACAGATGAAAAAACGCACATACCAATGAGTATTAGTCGCAAGGCCACAACCAGTTTTGAAACGACAACTCTGAATGACCTTGACCTGGAGTTAACGTCAGATTATGATGCTCCAGTGAGTGCCCAAACCATCTGCTTTCCAATAAGTGACTTCAACGGACCTGAAATCACTACGGAACTTCACAAGACTATAAAGTCTTCGAGTGTCACCAAGCAACAGACACGGGCTGAAAAGACCACTCCAACTCTAGCAGATGAGGATAGCACGCCACCTAATCCAGTTACTCCCCAAACCATCTGCTTTCCAGTCAGTGACCTCATTGAACCTGACCCCACTACAATACTCCGCAAGACAATAAAGGCTTCGAGTGTCACCGAGCAACAGGAGACAACCACTCCGACTATAGAAGAAGGGAAAACCACCAAAGAAGATGACAAGCATTTGCCGCCCCGTCCATGGAAACACAGTGATAGTTCAGTATCTCGCCAAACTCTTTGCATTCCAATTAGTGACATAATTGAACCTGACACCACAACACTACATCGCAAGACTGTAAAGGCTTCGAGTGTCAATAGTCAGCAGACACAGGTCAAGGAGACCATTCAAGAATATGAGGATACTACGAAACCTTGTAAAGAAGGTGGCAAGCAGGTAACGCCCCGTCCATGCAGTTGCACGCAGCCATCGTCCACCACTCACACGCGTCATCATACGAAGGGTCATTCTCATCACTATACTCTATTTTTTCATCATCACAATCCTTCTTCTGAGGAACACGTTCCTTCTTCTCATCAAGATATCACTTCGTCTGAAGGATGTATTCCTTGTTCTAATACTAGTCTTATGTCTTCTACTGATGACCTTCCTTCTTCTCATAAAGATCTTCCTTCTACTCTGAAAGAACTTCCTTCCTCCCATAAAGACCTTCATTCTACTCATAAAGAAGATAAATCGTTTCATAAAGACTTTCCTTCTACTCATGCGGAGGTTGCTGAGAGTTCTGAAACAGGCAATGAAGAAGGGGGCGATCGGTCTGATAACGACGTAACACTGACTACAAGTAAACATACCAAGACAAGTATCGGGAAGTCTGGAAATGGCAAACTGAAACCCAAAAAAGAAAAACTGAAGCCACAGAGGTTCAAATTTTACCCACCCTTGTCTTTGTACCGCACATGGCTCAGTCCTTGGGCAGCTGTACAAATCAAACAGCCATCATCTCGTAACAAACCATCCGAATCCAACGAACGTGGTCATCATAACTATAAAAAGGAACAACACGTAGACAACTTGCCCCACCGGCCTATGACTTCAACGCATACAATGATCCAGTCAAATATAAGGACTGCTGCTTCAACTAACATGCTTCCAAATCTTGGTAAGTCAAAGGGTGTCTACATGGGAGCTATTATCGTAGGAAATAAGTACCTACCACCCGGTTTTTACAAGCTTGAAGATTTGAAAAAACTAAAGAATTCCGGCATTTCAATACCGAAAGTTGTAGACAAAAAATCTACAGCCGGTAACGCTAGAATTGATTATTCATTAAGGAGAGTATTGCATCTGAATCGTGATCGTAGGAACAATAAGCGAAAAATTATAAATAAAAGTCGTTATTCAAAACCACCGTTAAATATATATTCAATGGTACAACTTCCAAAAGGCAAAATTGGCAGAATCGTTCTCGATGATGATATATCGAACACTATGAAGGATAAGGATTCAGAAACCTATGAATTGTAAGGAGATGAAAAGGAACAGGTATTGAAAATATACCTGTAACGAAGACCGTATAAAAATAACCGTTATAACTACTGGTTAAATGAAAAGTATGACGATCGCCTTGCACAGAAAACGCTAAAATAGGGGAAGTCTAATATTAATTTATTACAGTAGAAACTCACTTTCCGAAGCGTAAGATCATTCCGATAAGAAGTATACTACAGATTTCACGCGGAAAATGAGCCATATTTAAGAATAATCGTTATGATATTATTTTATTAACAAATTCATAAAATAAAAATATTCAAATTTCTACCATTCATTGCCCAAACCTTTGAATTAGATTTATTCAAGATGAAAAATCGACGATTTACGAATATACTCGGTTTTATAAAATAATATAAATGACATTGAAAATTACAATTAAAAAGTCGTACTTTTCAAGAAGAAAGCCTCAAGACTTAAATCTGAACCGTAAGTGTCGATCCGAGAGAAAAAAAAAATATTTGTCCCATTTACAAGCAATCACGTAATAAAAGAAAAGCGTTTTCATATCCATTATAATTCAGACCGTCATATAAATAATTAAGTATAATTACGGTCATCTCAAATACAGCACTGAAAAAGGAAACAAAACTACCTGGAAAACAGTTGGAATGGAGGAAATTATTAGGAAGAATATAAGAATAAAGACAAATAAAAAGGGTAAAAGAAAATTATTTAAGTATGTTTAAAGTATTCAAGTCACTCACAAAGTTCATGTACAAATTGATAATTTAATAAATCAAGAGAGAATAAAATTTTAAAAATTACCATCTAAGGGCGAATGGAATGAGAGGAAAATATTATGAAGCAGAAAATGAACACAACAAATTAAAAATAAAATAAGAAGGCGACTTTTGGATAATAATGAATAAACCATGAAAGAACTTCAATACATTTATCATCAATAAAAATATTTCGGAAAAAAGAAAAGTTTTAATATTAGAAAATATTCTTGAAATTTATTAATTTATTTATGTTCCCTTATAGCGCAGAGCAGAATAATCATATAACACTATTATATTAAACGGCAGACATTTTGGTTTATTATTTTCGATAATGAGCCACTGTAATCGAACAAAAAATTCAAAAACTTAACCCCCTCTCAAAATTTGACGTCTTACGTGTCAGGTTATGTAGAATTCGAAAAACGAATAAAACTGTCTTTGTTCGTCCGCCGTTCGCTTATTTTCTTTTAAACTACTTGTCCGATTTTTTCCAAATTTGGATTTAAAATCAGAGGTAACCCGAGGATGATCCTCCTTCATCGACATTACTACCCGCCTTATCCTTTCAAGACAGCGGCCAAAAAACCTGTGTTGTTATAGACTGTAGCGACGCTATTGGACCGTTTTCAATGAAACTTGGCTAAAATCTTCTTCTCGGTTTCCTGTAAATGTATCTACATAACATACTTAAACGAAAAGAAGCTGGATACAAAGTTGCGAGGGATGGTAAAATTAGATTCCAAATAACTCAAAAAGTATACATTTTTTTTTGTTGATAGTGTCGTAAAGTTTTTCAAAGGTATTTAAATTTCTTAAAAAATGAAGAAGTTAACCGGAGAGTTCAAAAGGTTGTACAAAGCCGAGTTGCGCTGACCATATCCAGTTAATACAATTGAGATGATTACATCGCGGAGAATCAAATGGGCTTAGTAACGAAAGAATTACTTAAAGGCTGATATTTGCTGTACCGAATGGTAAAGGTCCGACAGGTAGAACGAAGCGAAGGTGAGAAGATTGCGTTAAAGCCGATCTGAAGCGCTCTCGCTCAAACTTCACTGGCTTTAGCACCAGTGACGCGGTTGAGAGAGTAGCGCAGGGATCTCTTAGAGTCCTGCTTTTCCTTCTATAGTTGGAGGGACAAGCCTGGCTTGGGGTTCCCTGCCTGATTGCATACATTGTATATAGGTATGACTGTGTTTTTATGTTTTTAGTTTACTTATCTTTAGATTATTTTTCTTTTATTCTGCATAGTTTTCTTTATTATTATTTAGTTATTATTTTACTTTTGTTAATTTTATATTTTCTGTTTGTATGATATGAATGTGTTCATTTATCGCTATAATTATTGTCCACGAGATAGAATATTATATATCTCAATGAATAAAAAAGCCGATCTGGAGGGACTGGGTTTGGGCGACGAATGGTGGAGGGAGGTGTGTAATGAGCGGATTGGTGGTGTCGGCATCGAACCTCCGGGTTCACCAAGCCTTTTATTATTATTATAAAAAATTAAGGAAATTTCATCGTAATCAGAGCACTATTCGTAAAGATATCAGAATTTTCAAATATTTTTGGTTTATTGTATTTAATAATGAACCATTGTAATTGAACAAAAATTCAAAAACTTAACCCATTCTAAAAATTTGAGATTTTACGTTTCAGGAAAAGTATAATTCGAAAAACGAATAAAACAAAATTTTGTCCGTCCGCCGTTCGCTTATTTTCTTATAAACTACTTGACCAAGTTTTTTTCATATTTGGATTTAAAATCAGAGGTTACCCGAGGATGATCCTCCTTCTTCGACATTACTATCCGCCTTTTTTTTCTTTCAATATGGCGGCCAAAACACCTGCGTTGCTATAGACTGTAGCCCCTAAACGAATGTACCGATTTCAATGATTTCGTTTGCAAACGCATACCTCGACAAATTCTACACCGAATTGCAAGCGTCTTTTTAGCAAAATGATACATGTTAAACCGTTAGTTTTTAAATATAGTTTAGTAAACTAAACTATATTCAACTATTATTCACAAATATTCAATCGTGTTTAGATTTGTAAGTATATTTGTTCTTCTATGTTTTTCTCTTGGATGGTCAGCAACTAGAACTAAAATGAAGAATTGAGAAGTCATCCTAAGGTATAGGCGCAGACTCATAAAAACAGGAATGGGGTGAAAATATCGTTTTGTCCCCGAATATTTCGAAGAACAAAAATTATATCAAAATCAATAACAATTAATCTACATAAATTAATTAAATATGTAAAATAAAATAAGAAAAGTCGACTAGATGGCTAAGGCCTAGAATAAGGTACGTTCTCAGTGATATTATTGAAATTTGATTTTATATTCAAAGATAAGAATAGATAGTGACATATCCGAGAATTTTATGATTGATTCATGTGTACTCTTCCATGTTTAAGTGAACATTTTTCTTACAGTAAGACCGGTTTCTCTTAGCAGTTTTGCTTTCTGTGCCTCATATGCAGTACATCATGCTACGAAAATGTGCTCGGCAGTTTCTGGGAGTCCGCAATTGGGGCACGAGGGGTCGATATTCTTTTCAAATTGAAAAAGCTTTGCTCGGAAGCTCCCGTGTCCAGTGAGTAGTTGGGAGACCCAATAACCAGGTTCCACCCATTTTGCTGCTGACCGGGAAACGATGGTGGGAAAATATTTCCTCAGCGTGCTTTCTTTCGGAGTTGTTACCCATCGCTGGTTCCATTCGTCAAGGCTGTACTCTTGTATTATCTTTTTCCTTCTGCCTGGTCCTTGGTTAATCTTCCCACGGAGATTCTCTGGTAGACCTACCGAGCCTTCTTTTGAAATCTGATCCTTTAACATGACTTCCAGCAACAGAAGGTCGAGAGGAACACCTCTTGCCAGGACCTGTAGTGTCTCATGAGACACTCTCCTGAAGGTCTGGTGACGCGCAGCAGAGCCGTCCGCTTAATTGAAGCCAACCTACTCTTCTAATGATGCGATAGATTCAGAAACCAACCGGGGGACGCTCACTTATCATTTGAAGTAAATAAATTAACGCTGTGACGTTAAAAATAATTGTGTTACTTGTCACTCGTAATCCTGATATAACCTACCCCTCCCCCAATAAGAATGAAAAGTCTGCGCCTATACTTAAGGTGCCCCAGGTTTCCGTATAGCTTTATTTATCCCTCAGTTGGTGAGTGTCAAACCAATCCCATGTACTGAGAATAGAACCTGCAGAGGAGATTTGAGCCGATGTGAAACTTTCTGCATATGTTCACAGAATTTAATTTTCAAACGACAAACAATAAAGCTTGAATTATAAGTAACTATCTATGATATGTACCTATCTAATATAATTAATATGGAAGGTATATTGATTCTACTTGGCAGACGTTTATTTGATGCTATCTCTTTACGTTAGTAGAGGCCCCTAAATAACTGAAGCACTGGCAGTTATGGAGTCTGTTGTTATTTTTTTAATTTATTATTTTAAGTAAATTTTAGTCTAAAAAATAATTAAGCGCCCCTAACAGAAATGACAGAGAGATATTGCGGCCGAAATTAAAAAATAATCTCACTCTGTGAGCTCTGCAATGGCTCCATTAGGAGGCGGTTAAGGGGTGGAGGAGGGTATATTCTTCATCTGCAGTACTAATTTATACAATTAGTATCGAGAGAGAGAGAAGAAGTGGGGAGAGGGTTTCGGGCGAGTCCTGCCGATTCATTTGGTTATCATCCCAGCTCCACCTAATTCGAATCGGATTCCTTCCGTTGTCCGGATTCGGAATGAAGGTTTAATATTCATAACAGCCGGAGAGGAAAATCGACCAAGGTCTTTAGGGCCGCAGTCTAAACATCATTCAATGAATATTTTAGTGGTATGGGGGCTTTACGTATGGTCCGGTTTAGGCGCATCCTACAACTTCAATTGTAAGATTCAGATTTTGTCACTACATTTTATCAAATCTTTGTTAAAATATGTCTAGATAATAAATTGAATTATTTGTTGAGAAACGAAAAAAAATCTTCAAAGTAGGGTAATAACCTTAGAGATATTTTGCCCCCTCAATATCTCTCCACCTATTATGGACTATAGATTGCTAATTATCTGTGTATCTATGTACCTATGTATGTAATATATAGTAAGGGAAAGCATTGCGATCGTAAAAAAAATTGAATCTGAGTTTTCAACGGAAATGACGTTTTGAGGTGCGTGAACAGTCTAGCTCAAAACCAAAAATTTTATGAAACTGAAAATACATAATTACGTCAGGTATATGCTTGGAATAAATGGTGTTGTTTCACACTTCAAAAGCAACTCCGGCCTAGAAACTTCACAAAAAAATCAAAATTCACAATGGTTCGACCTGTCTTAACATACGGCTCCGGAACTTATACATTCACAAGGACTCAGGAACTGGAACTGTACAGGTTTGAACGAAAGATTCCGAGAAGAATTTATAAGGCTGAGTGTGTTAACGGAGACTGGAGAAGAGAACTTATCTGGAGCTGAGAAATCTACTTAGCGATTGAGACGTGGTCGATGTTCTTAAATTCTCGCAATAGCGATGGACAGGCCACGCCACTAGGATGAATCCAAAAATAATTTCATCCAAAGTCCTATCGGAAAAGCTATTTGGAGTCTGGAAGGTGAAGACGCCCTAGACTCCGGTGGAAAGACTGTTTTGTGGCAGATCCATTGTCTTTCACAACTGGAAGGCAGAAGCACTGTACAGAAATGACTGGCGGTCAATGCTGGAGACTCTGCGTATGGGTCGTAGAACTAGATAATAAATATGGTTGGAATGTTACAGCAACTTATTTTTGAAATTCGGCTAAACAGAAGTAGCATTTTATATCATTGATTCTATTAATTTTTAAAATTTAACAAATTATACCAATTCTTAACACATAGTAATTAAAATTGTTGAATATTAGTAAGTATTTTGCCTTAATTTTTATTCAAAAAAGTAATTTTTTTTACTAGTTTAGTCTTGGTCTTATAAGAGTCAGGCGATCTTGGTGTTGGTATTGGAAAGTGCAAGACCAAGAATGATTTTGGGGAACATTAGTTTTATCTCCATTTCTGTTGCTTAATAGAGGACTTAAATGTCAACCTTACAAAATATCTTCCTCTAGAGTATCTTTAATTTGGTTCATTTTGAATAATCAACAATTTTTCATTGTTTTCACTGATAATAAAAGGCTAAATATAAACTATGAAAGAATTTGATA